ATCCAGACATGAACACTTTTGCAGCAGGTCGTATGCATGAGTACTAAGCGCGGACAATCACACCACCGTCATTGGGGCAGTAGTTCTACCATTCATTTTTTTCTTACGTACTCAAATATGCTTTTATCTACCCTTCCTTCACTGCCATTATTGGCGACCACTAGACTAGGCGCAATTGTTCATCAGTGTCACCGCTGGTGCGACGAGTGTTTTCAGGGTATGACAGGGGCCAGAACCTGGAGTAAACGAAGCTGTTGAGGGTGGGAAGCTTCTCACACTCGTCTTTCATAGCCATTCTCCTTGCGCCACTTCGCGTTGTACGCCTCACGGTTTTTTCTCTGGCTTTTCGTTATGGCCTTGTTGACAATGGCCGTCCACTCTTTTTGCTGGTCGTGGGTGAGCCTTTGAGTACCGGCTGCAATGTCGTCGTAAGAAAGGCTCCAACTTCTAGCCAAGGCTTGAAGATCCGAGGTAAAGCCGCGTTCCTCCGTCTCACCAAGGTCATCGAGGTCATCGATGTCATAGGAGTCATCCTTGACAGGCTTGTACCTCAGAAGTCTTTGGCTCGGTCCACCGCGCGCCACCATGGAGATCTTGGCCTGGTTGGTATCCGCAGTCACGGCGATGGCCTTGCTTGCGAAGAGGAAGGACGCCGCGGCAACAACCACTACTTGAGAGAGATGCATGGGTTCGTTGTTAGACGTGAAGACTTGAGCACAGGAAAGCAAATTGCAAAGTGAGGATCGAAAAAAACAAAGGTACGCCTCGGAAAAACAAGGTATTGTTAGTCCCCAGCATGTCGTACAGCGATTACAGTAGTAATAATCAATACCGGTAACCGCAACGTCAATACGCCACGTCATTGCTGTCCTCATAAACATTTTCAAAGCCTGTGGTTCGCACTCACTGTCCTTGTACACAACTTCAAAGCCTGTGATAATTACAGCGATTGTATAAAAGCGGTCGATTTGACGGTCGGTAGATACGGTATCTAAGATACCTACTCTGGACCAGCAGACCAATTTCCATAAAGCAATAGATGCCATTTCAACTTTACAGAGCAATTATTTTAGGTTAAGTAATATGCAGTGCTTTTGATTCCAATTCTTGGCCTTAGACTCGTGGGGTCGTACTGAATCCAACGTGTCAGCACTACTACCATGCGAGTTTGTTTTTCTCTGTCAAATTTGGGACCAAAATGTTATCTTTCACGACAGTGTACGGTATTATTACTGGTGACTAGAATTCGAGCTACATACACTACTTGAGTAATTGAAGCGCTTGGTAACGTTGTAAACAAGTATTAGATGAGACCAAACTCTTATTTAAGTTTCACTACGAAAGATTTTGTGAATGAACACGTTTAATTTTAAATAAAGAGAGGTCGCAATCAAAGTTTGCACGAGGCATCCGATTTAAACTATCGTTCTCCAAGCCGCAACCGCAGACACCTTTCGAAGCGTGTGTTGATCGTCTTCAATTGTTCACTAAGGGTTGTTTCCTGAAATGTAGTCCACTAATGTAACCCTGGTGATTGTGTATACTTTACGATTGCCTCCTGTAGTGCTTTACCAACTTGTAAGTTGAAGATTTCGATGACCGAAAATCGTACTTAATCGAAAGTAGTTATGTGGTGTAAAATCAGTAGATATCTATTGATTTGTGGATATTTCTTTTACTGGCAATCAATACTACTACCACTACTTCCACAATTGAGACCAAATGAAGACGCATAAAACGGTCAAATTTATCGTTAAATTGTGGCTCACCTGGTCACAATTCGCCTATGGCGAGCACATCCGGAGACATACCCGCGTTAGGCGCCCATGTCCTTCATCCAACAAAGAACACTTCGCCGATTCCTTTCATTCGCCAAGCTCACGTGGCCTTGGTCTATCTATCGAGGTAAGTTAACAACGGTGGTGATTGCCTCTGGGACTCGCGGTCGCAGAGCCATTTTACCTTTCTTTTCCTACAACATTGTCTACACCTTCATATGTCCCTTTGGATCCATGACTGTACATCAATTGCAGCATCATGAACTGATCGTGGCCGGCAGCGACATTCATTGTCACCCTGCTACACAGCCCCGATTCACTCTTTTGCACATATGAACCGTGCTGTGCTTTGAAGCGTCAAAACCATTTAAACATCGGTAGATGTCCAGATATGACCGCTTTCACTGTGGCTGACACGTGAAGCAGAAATCAGTCATATGAAACGATACCACGATTTGGTGATGAAGCACTCGTATACCTTGGACCTTTATACTCTGCTGTTAGGTAGTAGCGTGCAGAACGTACTTCCAACCGAAACGAGTGTGGAAGGACACCGCGTGATCGAATATCGGAGCTGCTTCATTGACGGGTGACCTCGATTTTGCAGGTCTCCAGACCGAATGATGTTATAATATTGGCGGTCAGATCGTTATGTGTTCATTGCGGTTATCTATTACACCACAAAGTCGCGCTGCGCACGAAGAAGCTCTGGAATTTAGAAGGGCGTATTTCAACTTATAATTAGGTCGATAATGAAGCTATGCTACTGCTAACTGGTTGTAGGAAAGCTCCAAAGCGTTTAAACGTGAGGTTTCGTCGAGCGCCGATTGCGAGTGAGTGAAATACTACAATAATTCAAGTGAAAGAGTCTCCATAAGATAGAGGTGCTGAATAAATTCCACTTGGGTGACTGCGACGTAAAAGGAGGAGCGCTGAGGTACGCGTCTAGTGTAGTGACGGAGAGGGCCGACTATCTTGCAAAATCGGGATGCAATTTCATGCGCGCCCCTAGAACTTGCCCAACAAATGCGGTACAACAGCCCCGAACGCCCTAAAATACGTCAATCTTGAGCCACATACGTGGTAAGAGAGCACTACCTCCGCGCAACTTTCACATCTAATGAATGCCTGATAAATTTCTCACATTATCATTCGTGCGACATCCACCCCTTTCAATTGGCTAATATATTTCGCACTTAGCTGAGGTGGACGACACAGGCGGCATCACGGTAATTTATCAAGATGATCGAGAATTAGATTTCAGTAAATAGTGGTGATCTAACATGATACCCCCTCTTATTTATGGATTATGTTATCTTGCAAAATGGGACCTCGCTCCTTAGATCTGAAATAAATTTCATAGAATTCCCATTTATGTGTTCTTGGCGGTTATCTACTTACACCATTTCCAAATCAAAACGCCAACCGCCCCATCGAGTTTGCAAAACGAGGGTTTTATTTCGGATAAACATACACTTCCCAAATGTGCAACTTTCGTCCAATTGTCATCTTGCAATTTGCAAAGTGGATTCATTTCTTTTGGCGGTCATTGGCGCCAAACAACAGTACTTCAGCGGCCAGTCGTTTGCTGCACATATTTCACTTCACAACCTGTTGCCAACATGTATCCCTCGCGCTGAATCTACGGGGGACGCAGTTTCCGTAGGTGGTGTCCGCGATAGCCGCGTCAAGATGAGAGTGGATGTGATGGCCAAGATCGAAGAGTACCTGGACGAATACTGGCGTCATACGTGTCATCAAATGGCTGACCGCCTTCGTAACGACCTTGGGGTTTCGGTTAGTAAGTCCTCGGTTCATCGAGCATTGCAACGCATGATTTACAGCGTTAAAAGTCTAAAAATCGAGGCGTCGCGTCCACCATTAATTCACCCCGTCGTTAGGAGTAACCTCCTGCCAGTTACGACATTCATGAAAGTCGTGGACAACGCACTCTTTGACTGCTTCACGTTCGAGTCGTCGAGCTTCGCAGGTGGGCTGCGGGGGGGGCGACGAAATGCTTAACGGTTCGGAAGTTTTTTATTGGAAGGTGACGATGAACAATATCACTAACAAGGCTAGGAGGAAGGAGTTTCTGGAGGCGCTTAACAAGCACGTCAAGAACTGGATATGATTATCTACCAAGTTGAAACAAACTTCAACATGCATTTGTTCCGTGGAGAAGGGTGGTCTTGCGTTGGTGAGCGAGCTACTGTTGCCCTTCCACCATCTCAAGGCGCTAATCTGCATGTCCAAGGTGGTGTGTCGCCCGAGGCTGGCATTGAGTTGATGCGAACGCATGTCGGATCAATTCGAAAGGAATAGAACGCAAGGTTTGTAGCTGACCAGTTTGTTGTTGCGCAGGGAACGGATGAGAACCACGAGCTGAATTCATCCAACAAAGGGGTGGTTGTCACCGACAACGCCCCGGCCCATAGCCAGGTGGAAGCGTTGGTGCGCCATATGCTTGTGGCCGACGACATTGTCAACGGCCCTAAGCTTGTGCTTCGGATAAAGGATGCTAGAACGTCCTAAAGACGCGCATGAAGCGTTTTGTCGTAGAGCGAAAGGAGGGGCGACTTGTTCGCGACGAATACGACACACTTGCTGCTCACCGCATCACCATCATGAAAGAGGCAACAGAGATCGCGAAACCAGCTATTACGCGACGTCTGGTGTGGAGAATGGAGCGACACCGCCTTCGTTCCAGCTACGCCACCGAACACAGAGAGGATATGGAGCTAGGCAAGTAAGACTTTGCAGCATCTGGGATAATAATCGTAAGTTAGAGGACGAACATCAGGGAGTAGGCCGCACCTACCAGCGGATCCAAAATTATTTACATTTGAGAGGATTATACCGAGGCGTTTAGAGATACGTGGGAGAATGCGTGGACTGTGAATAGGTAAAGGGGTGCCCGTGATCCAAGGAGAATCACTCGGGATCTGCAAGCAACGTATCCTTACCAGATCATTACGATAGATCATGTACCGTTGCTGCACAGATCACAAGGGGAACCCTGAGCTGCTGATCTGGGTCGATCTCTCCACAGGATACAGGATCGCGAAAGCTAGATCGGCCCGATCGGCCCAGATGGTCGCGGAACCGTAACAAGAGTGTGTATTTCGACACTAGGGGATGATCAGGCTCAATCGATAACCAGGGTTTATGTCCGACTACTTCTGGTTGTTCAATACAATCCTGTGACAACGGCAGCGAGTGACAATGGCGTATCGACCTCAAGCCAACGGGACCGCGGAAAGAATGGTACAAACAGCGACAAAGACGCTCACAATGTATGTTCGCGATCTAAATCGAAAGGATTGGGATAAGTACGTTGAGTGCCTCACCTTCGCGATTAACACGACCCAAGATCGTGTTCGAGGAGAAACACTTCATTATCTGGTACACCGAGATCAACACTGGAGGCCACAATTCCCGTCGAATGCATCAGACGGCACGATCGGGACCCGCAACGGTGGCGTAACGGGATCCAACGGCCTTATTAACCGCCACGGGAACTAGTTAGCAGCAGATTTCGAGAAATCATTTCAGATCGTGCCAGTCGACATAATGAAGACGTTGGATCGCACCAGTCCGAGGCGGAATCCTGGGTCTAGTTATATCTAGATCGAGTGAGAGAGGGGTACTGTCTAAAATTAGCTCACCTCTGGCACGGACCCTTCCGGGTCACCGAGAAGATCATTAAACTTACCATCAAGCTTGAGGCTCTAGACACGGGATATCAGATCTTCCCAGTAGTCTATGTGTCGAAGCTAAAACTGGATAAGAACTTGCTGGATCGACCTCGGGTCGAACTCACCGTGGACACCGTACCGGCTCAACTTTGGCGAAGTCCTGCTCCCGGAGAATAGTTGGGTCCCAGATCTCGGAGCCGACGAGTACGAGGTTCAACATACCTCTGATGTGCGGAGTGGAAAGAAGACTCCCTTCGGTCGGATCTACCGAGTTGTTTGTACAGTGGGTGAGATACGATGAACCGACCTGGGCTGACGACACTGACCTCAATTGCGGCACAATACAGAACGGGTTCCTGCGAGAACGTGTGAATCACAATCGATACAGCGTAATGCAGTCGCATGAAGAGGTGTGATGAGGGACGAGGTGATACTACCTGATCGTCTCAATTTGGACGGAATGCAAGTCAGTGAGAAGACTGGGATCCGGAATTTATGTTAAATACGTGCATATGCAAAAGGACACCGGGCCTCATGGGGAGATGGTTGAAGCCAAAGTGACCACGAAGATGTATTACCCCGTAGATTCCACGAAAAGAGCAAGCTAACGGGAACGTTCCTGAGATTGGTTAATATAAGGAACTGATAGGACGAATCGAGATCTCGGGATGGCGATCGGAGATCGCGGGCGACATCCCCTGAATAAGACCAGGTCGTCGAGCTAAGGGGGCGTCAGAGCTGCAGGAGGATTGAACTTGTTCGCGAGTCGCGGAATCAACAACGACGAGTGATTGACGGGATGGTCGCGGAAATGGTTCCGCCAGGGATTGGCCTGATCACATTCAACCAGCGTGGTGATCAGATCCGTCGACTCGGGGAAGTTCGCGGCCGGCTGTGCGAGATTAGCTTCTGGAGAGGTACCAGCGTACTCGAACCTGAGTAGTGAGCAGATGGAGGAAGAAAGGATTCAGAAGGAGATCAAATGTCGCCCCGGAGATTCCGCATCATCGGAAGACACGCAGTCAGAAGTTCGTGCACGCGATCACCAACTTGGATGCGTCATTGACGACGATTGTGGTGATATTGCAGGTGATCTAGGTCCGAGGTGCACATCGCCGTAGCGATGTCGAGATAATGGGTCGATTCCAAGCACGCTTGGAAGTGATCCGACTCGAGTCTCGCGTTGGATGCAGTGATCCACCATAGAGGAGAGGCGGCGCGACGATGTAAGTGACGATCGAAAGTCAGGGGATTGGGGCGATTCCGGAGTGCAAAACACGGTTGGGTAGCCAGTAGAGCCAAAATCTCCGCACCGGTGATCAGCTCGGACCGAGAGCCTGTCTGTAATAAAGGAGGTCGAACCGTTGGCGTCCAGCCCGGGTACATAAATCCCGGCGGAAACGGTAACATCTTGGTCAAAGTGGACGGGATAATAGCAATTATCGGTACGGTCCCCAAGGTGGCTGGATCCCACGGGAAGATCGTGGCACTCGTGAACACCCGGACCGCAGAAAGGCTAGGAACACATGCCCTTAGAGGGGCCAACGTCAGATTTAGCTGAAGGGGAGAGTCTCCGCCGGAAGGGCAGCCGCAGGGCGTACCTCCCCCCCCGGAGAACCCCCTCCGGGAGATCCATGACGAGAGGGAAGAGGAGTCTCAGGTCCGTTCTCCGAGGGAGGAGAGTTCCCCGCAGGGGGCGTCGAGAGAAGGGGTCCATCCCGTCCCCCGGGAGAGTCGTGATCGCTACGACCGTCATCGTCACCACTCGGGAGTTCGATTTTATCCTCCGATTCTTCGGGATATGCGTCGTCCCCACCCTCAGCATCCTGGATCTAGGAGTTACCCAGGTCGGCAGGTGGGGGAATGGGAGGACCGCCATAGGGGGGTGAGAGGGGGCGACTGGGTAGGAGAACCAGGCGCACTTCTATCCTGTTTAATGATTCGAGCCGCTTGGCGCTGCTGAATGTGTCAGGAGCTGGTCCGCCTCAGAGAGATCACCTTCGGCCAGATCTCGCTATTCGTTGAGCTGATCTTAGGCTGCTCGAGATACCCCATCCGGCTCTCCCACCCTTGGAGCTCCAAGCGAACCACCTCGAGGCCATCGTCTGTATGGAATAAGCGTTAGGGGAAGATCACGTAAGGTCAGATTGGAAAGTGCACTTACCCAGCAAGGGCGACCCGGGCAGCGTCGGCGAAAAGGTCCAAGCGGTATCTGACGCGAGGCGGGTGAACGGCTGAACCGCTCAAGTGTATAGTACGATGCCCAGGGGGGAAACGACCA